AAACAGGCACATCTCGAACATCCCTAAACAAAGGTGTTGATGGCAGCAGCAGAGCTGATATTTCTCTCCAGGGTGGTGTCGCAGCCAAACGGGAACAGACGAGGCGAAGCTTCTGTTTGAAAAATCAAAGCATAGTGTTAGAGATTGAACTACCAGATTCTGCAGAGAGGGAGAATAGAAATAGAATGATGAAAGGCATAACTTTCTAAATGTATTTACAGTATACTGAAAAGCTTCAATATTTTTGTGATTCATTAAGAAAACTTGTACAAATAGGATAAGTATAACAGTTTGTTACATGTAAGCTTAATAATTTGGACTTGAAGGTCATGAATAACCAAAATTTAACTCAACAACTGAAAAGGTTGAGTAGATAGATATTGTGGAAGAAAGGGATTCACCAGAAATGTGAATAAGAAAAACTTTGACAGGATTGTCACAGAGAAAAAGAACCAGACTTGTGTCCAGTGGTCCAAAGCTATCATTTTAGATTAATACATTTTTTTTTTTTGCTTTTAATAAAAAAAAAAATGACTTGGAGTGTGAAGGAAAAGTGAAGAGGCACGGGATCAACATTGCTTGAAGTCCAGAGGGAAGTTTCCACAGTGGTGATTTGGGGAGCTATGCCTTCACCAGAGTGAGCGGAGGAGACAGCTGGAGGTCTCAGCTCTGAGTGCCTTCTTTCTGCTTGCTGAAAAGAGGTGAAAAACATCTGTATGTTTGCACTGGAAAATATTTCTTCCTGTTTTTTTCAACCAAAACGTCTCTTCATCGTTGAGGCACAGGAGGCAGCGCTGAACAAGAACAATATTGTTTGCATTTACATAAAGTCAGCCATGAGTGGAAATACTTCCAAGACAAAACTGAAGCTAGTCTGTTCCTGTTAATCTTAAACTTGGCATAAATGCAGCTGTTGTGTGAATCCCTCAGAGGCTTAAGGAAAACAGTCGACAGGTTTGGATTTTTGTGAAGAACTGTTAAATTGACTTAAAGGAGCAGTAAGGAGAGAAGCATGTAGGAACAACCCAAAGTAACTCTGGAGGAGCTGTAAAGATTCACAGCTCTTCTAGGAGAGTCTGTTGTCAATGCAAGTATTAACTGTCCTCTCAAAAATCATGTTTTAGTGAAGATTGACTAAGAATAAATTAAAACTTCGTTTGCACTTCATTTAAGGACACAGAAACCATCCTTTGGTCAGACGTGATGAAAACAACCTTCCTGCTAACAGCCGAGTACAGAGTCACATCGCCGTGGCAATATTTGTAGTCATCCTGGAATAAAGAGATCATTAGCATTGAGATGCAGAAATGTCTTCAATATACAAGAGATAAAATATTAGAATGGCTTCTACAGATTCTAGTTGATAATGTAAGGACTTTAAAAGAGCTGACTTAGCTTGAACTATTCTGTGGAGAAAAAGACTTACTGCTTTAGAGGGGCCCCCATCAGAGCTCCTGCTGTAACTGAAGTAAAGCGTTCCAGAAAGAGTTAATTCAGATGAGGCCCATACAAATATGCAGCACCCAACATTCTGGTTGCTAAAAAAACAGGACTAGTTTCCCTCCTCTCCACAATCATGCATTACTTTATGTGGTCTGTCACACAAACCCCAAATAATTTATAAATACAGGTTTGTTTCAGTATAATTATACTGTAACAAAATGCATCATAAAGGTTAACACTAAACTATTACTCAATTCTGCAATTTGCTAAATGTATAGATATCAGCTATACTTTTTTGTCCCTGTATTTTTAACCACAGTTTTCAAATCCATCACCTAATTAACTTCATTTTGCCAAGAAATGATGCCTTCTAGCTGCTTCATGAAATCTTTAATATGTAATATGATGAGGATCGCAGCTTAGAGATTGAAGTTACATACCAACCATCAATAACTTGCTTTGCCTGATGATTAAGGCTTGACACTGTAAACAAGTTTACATTTAAATGATAAATGGGCACACTTTGATCTTATGCAGATATCTAGAGTTTTTTTCTCCCTTTTTTCTGTTTACCAAACCTTTTTGTTTGTCCTACTCTTCCTTTAATGAAAGATGAAATGGACTTCGATAATTGCAGTTTTCAATCTTGTAAAACTATATATATATATACTTGAGTAAAAGTACAGATACTTGTGTTAAAAAATACTCTGGTAAAAGTGGAAGAACTAATTAAACTTCTTTACTCAAGTAAAAGTAACAAAGTACAGGCTTGTAAATTTACTTAAAGTATAAAAGTAAAAGTAGAAACCACTTTTTTCATGCCGTTGCCTACATTTTAAATGGATGTCTGCCAATAGGACTATATCTCTGTTGTGTTCATTTTCAATTATCTCGTCGTCCATGCTACTATGCTAACGCCACCGCCACCAAGCTGCAATGATTTGCCGCGAATGAATACCGCAGAATCTGTTGATTCATCTTGTAGTAGTGCGTCAAATGCAACGTAGATTCCCATCCAATTAGATTGAATTTGGTATTGATGACGTGAAAAATAATAACGGTAACTCCATTGAAATGATTCAAAACTAAAGTAACGAGCCAATTTTTAAAAATGTAAGGAGTAGAAAGTACAGATATTTGTGTAAAAATGTAAGGAGTAGAAGTAAAAAGTCGCCATAAAAATAAGTAGTAAAGTAAAGTAAAAATATCAGAAAAATCTACTTGAGTACAGTAACAAAGTATTTGTACTTTGTTACTTCCCATCTCTGTATATATGCATATATGTTAGTATATATTGTGTCACTGTAATTTAGATATGTGTGAAAATGTTGTGATGTTTATGGTGAAGAAGCTGTGTTGCTTCAAACTCGCTGTCCCATTTCTGTCCTGCTGATGCTCAAGTCTAATTGCTGCTAACTTCTGACATCCAGAAGTTAATGATGGTTTATTTCCTCTTCCAGGTGTTGAGCTTGAGGCGGCTGTTTTTGCACCAGTTCTGCAGAGCTTGGACCTCTTTATGGTGTCTCATCTTTGCTGACCTAACTCACAATGGATGCTTTGAAGCCATTGGGTAGCTACACAATCGCAGGTGTAGGGTGAACTCACCCCTGAGGGACACCATTATTGTGGATGAATTTGGGGTGGGAGGGCTGATCACATTGACAGGCTGAGGTTGTTAGAAAGTCCTTGAGTTTCTGAATATTTAAATCAGTCGGTGGAGCTGATGAAGCTGACATCGAAAGATAGGAGTGTGCAGCAGAACACTGCAAAAACGATCTAGAAATAAGTAAAAATGTCTTAAATTAAGTGTATTTACCCTTAATTTGAGTAGGTAAATGAGATAGTTTGCCAATGGAATGAATAATTTTACTCTTGAAATAAGATAATCAGATAATATGCACTTGAAATTTTTTGAATTTTTACGGAATGACTTGAAATGAGACAATGCAATTGTGTTTTCTTATTTTAAGTGTAAATTGTCTTGTTCCATTGGCAAAATGACTCTTTCACCTCCTCAATTCAAGAACAAATGCACTTATTTTAAGAAAAATGACTTATCTAGATTTAGATTTTTTGCAGTGAGTCAGTTTATTTTTCAATATGAACATCTTTTCACAATACTTACTTTACTACACTGCTCCATCCAGAGTCCTCAGGCCTCTCATGTCACCTCTTCTCTTTAGCTTACCATGCAGCCTTTTTAGGATTTGGGATGTGGGACTGAGATGCAAATGAAAGTGATGTAAACTAATGTTATACAAACCATTTCTGTCTTAATTCAGCTATTTTTTTATCAGATCATCCCACTGAAAGACCTGTTCCCACCTATCCAGTTTACAAGTAGAGCATTTTGTAGGTCAGCATGCGTGCTATTAAGATTTCCTGAGACACTGGAAGAGAAACATGCCCCACCGCCATACTTACTAACTTACTTTTTACATGTTCGTTGTTTTAAAGTTTGCTCAAATGTCGTCTCATCTGACCAAAACACATGTTACTACTGTTCATTTGCGAAGCTGGGAAAGCCTTTTAGCCCTTTAGCATGTAGATGATGTGTATTAAAATAATCACTACTGGATTCATGCACAATAACAGGGTTTGCTGCAATTTCTTTTATAAACCTTCTTACCATCCTGCTCACTGATGGCAGGATGAACTCATGTCTTCCTCCAACCCTGTTTGTCACAGTTTTAGTAGCTTTAATTTTCGAAACATTTGAGGGTTTTTTTTCATTTCTCAAATTAAAGTTATGCGACTACATAGAATTTTTTTTTATTTTAATCATCTTTGCGATTTATACAGTCTAAGTCTGCTTTAGGACAGAAACACAAGAAGTACTTCTCGTCTGAAAACCCTCACAAACACATGTTGATGGTTTCCAGCCTAAAATAGCCCTCAACCATTGGATCTGTCTCAGTTTTCAACCAAAGAGCGCTTTGTATGCTCTGACTGCTGGCTGAAAAACTTGGCTGTAGAAAGAGCTTATTGTTGGATGGGTGTTTTTTATTTTTTTTTTACCCCGCAACCCTAAAACCTCTGGCTTACAGCAGAATTTTGTCTGGGGAACCCACTTGGAGGAAATATGGTTCTGTGTGAGTTCCTAAGAAGGAGAGCATTGCAGTCTGAAGGAATTTATCAAGCGAGGGGAGCACAGATCTTTGATTTAAGCACAGAGCCGATCATTGTTTTCATTTCGCAGGAGAGAGAGAGCTGAGCAGAAGGAATAAATGCATGAAAGTTGATGTCATGTGCTCTATCAAGCAGAGAAGGGAAGTTAATCACATTTGGAGAATCAGCAGACAGATGTCAAAATGTAAAGGTAAAAGGCAAAAGGAAAGGTTGCAGTTTTATGATTTTAAAGTTGTCCTCGGGAGAGGCGAGAGGATCCTTCTTATCATTTTAAGAGAACCAGAGGGCCTGACGTGAAGCCAGAAAGAAGGGGAAGGGTGTGACATCAACAAGACAAAACAGCTGCCCCTTCTCCCATGTGGAGGGAAGGCAAGAGGAGCCTGAGATAGGGCGAAGAGAGAGGGGGGTTAGGGTTTGGAGGTGCTGGTGAACGGAAAGAGAAGAGGGGGAAGAGATGGTCAGTGGTGAGGGTAGCTGGAGAATACAGGAAGAAGAGATAGAGAGGAGGGTCAGCTCTCAGTGACACCTCTTCCAGGGAGAGAGGGTGGGTGGGTGAGAAAGAAGGGTTGTAAGGGGAGAGTCCGGGGAAGCTGAAAGTCATCTGGGGTTGGTTTCAAGACAGGACAAGCTGTCAGAGAGCGGGGCAGAAGGTGTGAAGAGGGGGAGGAGGAAAATGTGGGAGAGGAAGAAATCAGAACAAAATATGAAGCGGTGAGAGACAGACAAAAAGTCAATCCAGAGCTGCCGGGAGCGGAGTGCTGGCGTGGAAGGAGTGCCTAAAGACTGAGGACAGTGAATGCACCGCGGGAAGAGTGAAAAGCTGGAAGTATGGGGTGTATGCATAGCAGCGGCAGGATAAAGGAGGACAGGCCTGGTACAGATACAGAAGGAATCCCTGTGAAGGCAGATGGCGAGGTGCATCCTGAGATCATTCAGCTTGCTGAGGTACATTATTTGGTTTCCTTTGTTTTCCTGCAAACAGAAGGAAAAAGAAGTCTTGCCTTGATGTCATGCAGTTTGTTAAAGAAAAAATGCATGTTGAGTTTGATGGAAATCAGATGGGGGGAATATACCAGATCTGCACGCTCATCTCCACTTGAAGTGCAGCTAAACTTTAATTGCTAGTCACCACTGATCCCGCATCAGTCTCCCCCCTAAAAAATGCAAACCATTATCACCCCGTCTCTAAAATAGATTCCAAGCAGTTCTGATGCTTGTTAGGAACATTTTATCATTCTGCTTCCATGGACATACTTTACAAACAGATCAATCATTTTGGTACAACTTAACGATCAGGCTCTGCTTATAAAGGGTTTATAAACGATTAATAATCAGACTTTTCAGAGACTAAAGCATATTAACATTTGACAGGCCATATTTCCTATCTCTCATTTCCAGTAATGTCTATTAATATGATCACAGATTTATCATAAATAATAAATTAATGTATTAGTACTTATAGGGAGAATCTTTTTGCACAGATGTACAATAGAAGGAATCACTTTGATATAACACCACCATTGCTGAGGGCATATTGCTTAATATCCACAGCATAACTAATACCAGAACTGATATTTCCTGTATGAAGCTACTTTTTTTATATATATATATTTTTTATTTTCATAATTATTTATATATATTATATAAACCTTCAACCTTTTTTTATTATTGCTTATTTTTAAACACACACTGATGAAGGTTAAACTTTATAAGACCGCCTTAAATATTAACTGAAATTAATTTTGGTTTTAAGGCTTTCTAAAGCAACTGTAAAGAAGGATGATGTATTGTGTTAAAGGGTGAGAGATGTTTAATCTTGCAATCTTTTAAATAATGTAGTATAAACTCTCACAGTTTCATATATAACTAGTTTATCTATGATTTATTGGCTGTTTTTATGGGTCTGAACATAGAGCTGTTTAGCAGAGTGTACCTCCTAATAATAAGACTACTCAAGTTATTTTTATGTTGTTAACTGAACAGTTATTTCAGTATAAACCATTAAAATAATGCTTATAAAAGACTGATCCAAAACTACTGATTTTTAACTTCTGTCTCACCTGTAAAGTGACTGTTTCTAAAACGTTAACGGCCTTATCGATAACTGTGATTTACTGCTTATTTGTTGCATATAAAAGTTTGATTTATTGTAAGCCATGCTAATAAGTTCAGGGAAAAGAATTCACACACAGCAGCTGATTCACCTGATTAACGGTTTTGTGTCTCTGGGATGGAGAGGAAGCGGTGTTGGTTACTGTCTGGGTTTGACCCACCGCCTTCCTGTCTGCTTGTTCTATTTCAGAGCGTCCGTGGATTTAGGAACGAGTGCTTTGAACTTTTATAGAATCCAGAATAAATGGTGCCTGCTGATGCAACGCTACGCACCACGATCTGTTTGTTGCCCCACATGTCAGAGTAGATCATACTATGGCACACTGGAAGGGGGTCAACAGAACACCAGCTTTATTTTTTTTGTTTTGAAAATAGATTTTGAGTTGTTGGAGATATTTATCTTAGTGGTTGTCACAACAAATGCAAAAAAAGGCCTTATTCGGTTAAAATCAATAAAAATAATCTGAATCTGATCCATTTCAGTACGTTTTTTTAAGCTAATATGTTGTTAAAGGAAAGCAAAGGATTGCATCAAACCTTTTTTTTTCCCCCTCCCACATGTTGTTTCAACATCCTATGTGTGAATGCCTGAGTCTCACCATACCAAACTATGAGAGCATATTCCCTGCTGAATGGGTGGACTTGGATGCAGTGGAGAGTAATGAAATATCTCATACTGGCTGAGGAGGTCTTTGGGATGTTTTTGAAGTGTCCGGCTCCTTTGCTCTCATTCCTGCACCTATTTTCAGACTTTTTTTTTCATGGCTGTTTAGAGGTGGTGGCCCCGACTCACACAGGTTATAAATACCCACAAAGAAATGGAGCGTACCCCCTGGCTTACCACCTGCTCCTGTCTCTTCCAGAGTGGATAGGCAGTGTGTTTGCTGTGTGTGTGCAAAGAGTTGTGACTCCTGATCTCCAGCATGTCATCACTTGGGAGTTGGGGTGCAATAGAAAAAGTTTGAGGAGGGGTGTGTGTGTGTGACTGTATACAGCTCGTTCCTAGTGCGAATGGTTCAGTATTTTTAATCAATTTGGAGATTTGGAACAGCTGCTGCTTTCCTACAAAAAAAACAAAACATGCAAGAGTCAAAAAAATCCGTTATGTTGCTGCTTGTCGATGACCCTCTCTGGATCTGCATGCTGGATGTGGAAGAGCTTCAGGCTCTTGTTAGCGGTCAGAGATACTTGGAGAGTGACATAAACTTTGGCTGCGAAAAAACACATGGGGTGGGGTTCTTTTATGCTGCAATGCAACACTGCAACTTTGCTGATACTCATGAGAAACCGCTGAGACTTGATGTCCGCTCAGCCGGAGGCGAGAACTTACAAACATCTCTATTCCATTTGACTGCATTTTTACACTGAAATCATCAAGTCTGCAGCTTTTTAGCTGGCCTGCATCGTATGGTCATAAAGATCCCATTTCTATTGTTGTTTAATGAGGAGTAGAAAGAAAATATTCAGAAGATATTCAGGCAATGCTGAACCTTCTTCCTGGGATCTATACATTGTTTACTGTGAAATTATCAAATATAATATTATATTTATCTGTTTCAAAGCTCTAATCTCGTCAGCATATTAGTCACTGATGAGTCTGGGGGTGAAACGTTTCTTATTTTGTACATCATGATGATTTTCCGCAGTTGGATTCATTACCTCATCTCTATTCATCTTCCACATGGCCACTGGTTCAATCCGACTCCAGGCGACTGAGAGATCAGGATTCTACCACGCTAAGATCTTTACCATGC